AAGTTCCTAATGAAAGGAACAGAGGACGGGACCAAGAGATTGGAAGGTGACAGTAATAGAGATGAGTAGGGTGTGCCAGAATGATAGAAGAGCAAGGGAGTTTGGAAGGAGGGTGGAAAAGTCATGGTCATTGAAACAGCATTAGGGAGTTAGAGAAGTGGTAACACTGACTCCCCTGATCTGAATCCTGCCTTTCACATGATCTAACCTCAGCTGTCCATTTGCTTCTTAAGGCCTAATTAATCCTGTCCTATGGCTGAATCTGCTTGGGCCATGTAGTCTTAGCATCTGAGGAACTTCTGTGGGAGGGGAGACCTAATATGAGTGAATAGCAACAATAATTGGTATCAAATGGATTTAGGTGAGCAAAGGTAAGGGAGATGTGGATGCTCTATTAGCTTCCTAGGGCTGCCATAACAAAATACCACAGACTGGGTTACTCAAGTAGTAGAAATTTATTTTCTCACAGTTCTGGAGGCTAGAAGTCTAGGTGGTTTCTTTTGAGACCCCTCTCCTGGGCTTGCAGATGGCCACCTTCTTACTGTATCCCCACATGGTCTCCCTGCTTTCTGTGCTGTCTGTATCCTAATCTCCTCTTTTTATAATTAGATTAGGCCCATTCTAACAGCCCCATTTTAACTTAATCACCTTTTTAAAGCTCCTATCTTCAAATACAGTCATATTTTGAGATAGTGGGAGTTAAGGCTTCAACAAATGAATTTGGGGTGGGGGTATAATTCAGCCCATAACAAACGGTCTGTATCTCAAGTACCTAAGAACCCCTGGATTCTTCCTTACACATAGCCTAGCTCATGGCAGAACAGAAAAAAAGAAAATGTCCCCAGGCCCACCTACTGCCTCACTTCTTGCTAAGTGAGGAAAATAAACTCTGTTTCAGCTTTAGTCAAGGTTTCTCTTTTTACCTACCAAACAGAACCTTAACTGACCCAGTATTTGTTAATTCTGTGCCTGCGGTGCTTGAAATCAGCTTGACACCTTGGTGGTATGCGCTCACGCTTTGGGAGAACTTCTGTAAGAGAGCCTGTATTAGTTTGCTAGGGCTGCCATAACAAAGTACCACAGACTAGGTAGCTTAAACAGCAGAAGTGCATTTTCTGACAGTTTAGGAGACTAGAAGTTCAAGCCCAAGGTATTGGCCGGTATTTTAAGGAAGTTCAAGATCGAGGTTGTTATTTTGAGGCCTCATCTCCTTGGGTCACAGGTGGCCACCTTCTTGCTGTCTCCTCACATGGTCTTTCCTCTGATTGTCTCTATCTTAATCTCCTCCTCTTATAAAGATATCAGTCATATTGGATTAGGGCCCACCCTAATAACCTCCTCTTAACTTAGACCTCTTTAAAGGTCCTGTCTCCAAATAGTCACATTCTGAGGTACCGGGTTTGGTATGTGAATTTTGAAGCAGTGCAATTTAGCACATAAGAAAGCTTAATAATTTATTTTTTGAATGTAAATTATATTTCCCTTCCCTGAAATCTTGCAGTCACATGACAGCATGGCTCATGGATGCTCAAAGTCCACAGGCAGGATCACGGGGCTGCAGATGAAAGAGCCCTGGATTTAGGGTCAGGAGTCCTGGGCTCTAGATGTCCATCATCCTCTTGCTGGCACACTTAGTCTCTCTGAACCTCAGTGTCCTCACCTGTAAACACAGGTAAATATTACATGTAATGATGTATAGGAAGGTACCTGGCAGATACTAAGACTATATCATCAAATCTAAGATGCCATTAATTATAAGATGCACCATTATAAGTATCCAAAATGACAAAATCGTCCATGGGAGCTTTTAAAATTACAGATTCAGGAGCCCCACCCGAGATTCACTGAATTTGAATCTTCTGAGATGAAGCTCAGGCACTGTTTTTTCTTTTTTCTTTTTTTTTAAATTTCCCATATTATTCTGATGATCCAATAGGTTCTGAAGCCAGGGATTCCAGCATACTGTCAGCCAATGTGTTGAATAACCTAAAATTTAATTCTAAGGTGTAATCTTTGGGGCTATTTATCAGTTCTTAGATACTCTATAGGAAGACTGGATTTCACACTTTGCCAACAAAAACTCATTGCCCAAATATTTTACATTTTCCAGCGCATTCATGGAATTCCAGAAAGTCTGGGCTCAGGAGTTGCATATAATAAATACTTTGGTAGAACATGTAAACCAAGCCCAGTTTTAGTTGTAGGAGTGCTGTAGTATTTACTCTCTTAGTAGTAGCTTTCTGATCCCTTTCCCTGACTATAAATGAGATGTTGAGCCCACATCCGTCATTCTACACTTCTATGATTCTAACTGACATACTGTTAGTTCCTTATACTCATATGTTAACCTTTTCATCAACATTTTAAAAAACGAGTTGAACCTTCTTAAAAATTATCTTTCTGAATACCTATGATTGAATCCTGAGTAATGTAATGCTATTGTGACCACAGATAAAGCAAGTGTCAAGATTAGAATGTCACTCAGGACTCCTTGACTCTCTTTACAGATCATTAGCAATTCACCTCCCCACCTCCACTGCAATTTCCCAGTCCTCACTCCCACATTTATATGTGTTCCATGATCTCAGTGGACTCCTCTCCCCTGATTTTATAGCGGAGCAAACTGGTGTCACTCCTTCCCCTCCTCCAGCAGAGAAAGTAGGTGACTTGCCCGAGGTCCCATGAGTTAGCCTGCTCATGTTGAGTCTATTCCTAAACCACTGTCTTTTCCATTCCTCCCACTCCCGAGATCTATTCATGATACCCCAGGAAGTTTTTATCAAGAGGTCAGGAAGGTATCACCAATGCAGCCCAACACAATGGGAAACTGCCCTGAATCCCACCCAGATCAGTCCTGAGCCACATAGTTCCCGTTATCGTGTAGATTCCATCTGAGCCTTGGCTAACTCCCAGGGAAGCACATATCTGCTCTGCTGTATATTGGCAGAACTTTGGCTCAGAACGTATTTCAAATGCCTCCCATTGAGCACTGGCAGCCTTAAAGAAACATGGCCAGGAAATTATTCCAGGAGGCTCAGTTACTCTATGACACTTTGCAAGGAGAAGCTGATGGCTTTCCCTCCCAAGCTCTCCCCTCTGTGCCCAGAACAAATGACTGCATTTCCCTGGATGTGCCCTAAATTAGGAGAGGGTCAGCTCAGCTGCAGTGTTGATGGAGGGAATGTCTTTAGCGGGCAGGGCCCTCTGCATGGCGCAGGATGCTTCGTGCCAAGTTCTTTCTCCCTTGGTTTTAAAACCCTTGTATATTCCAAGAGAAATGTAGCCCATGTGTTTCTGATTCATTTGCACTTAAATCATTAAAATGTTGTGTGAGAGTTATTTGATGTTTGAGGAGCCTGTGAGTCTTCTTAATGGGACTTTTAAAGGGATTTTTTTCTATCCTGCCTAACACAAAAATTTTTAGGCTGTTTTGCCAGAACGGTGCCTAGGTTCACACATATTCTCTCATCTCATATACTTGCACTCACATTATCAAACCCAGCCTCTTAATAATGCCCAGATTAGCAAAGCTGACCTTTAAAAGTGATAAAATAGAGAAACTGGAGAGAAAATGGAGCCAGGAGAATTTCAGCAAGATGCAAGGCATTGTTCCCCAAAATGTGCCAAAGCAGTGTTATCAGAGGGTCGAGAATGCATGTGTTTGCCGCCTTGGTTAGAATGGGTGGGACCCCTCTCTTGGGTACACTGAACAGCTAAAAAAAGGGCAAGGATAATTTCCTTTAAGTCTCAAAGCAACCCCCATTTTCCAGATGAGAAAACAGGATCAGAGATGTTAACAATTGGGGCCAAAGTGCACAGCCAGCTTGGATAGAAAGGGAAGATTATAGCCAACTCTGATGCTGAGTCTAATTGCTCTTTTCAAAATGCCCTAAATTGAGTTTCTTTGTGAATGTGGTGTGTATTTGAAATGCCGTATGTACTATAATATTCTAGTGAGAAGCAGTACAATGTTGTGGGTAAGAACTCAAATTCTTCCCCTATCACTTTCTAGCTGTGTGATCTTGGGTAACTTACTTAAACTCTCTGGGCAGTTTCCTCATCGGGAAAATGGGGCTAATATTACTACCCAGATACTCAAAATGTAAAGATGATGGAAAGCAATCAATACATTACTAGAGCGGTACCTGACACACAGTACTCAGTAAATATTAACTGTTTGCTTTTGCCGTGGTAGCAGTAAGGAGTAATAAAGGGCTGGATAATCCAGGCAAATTGTGTACCTCTCTATGCTTCAGTTTTCTTATTTGTAAAATGAGTATAATAGTATGATCCTCACAGGTTTGTGGGAGTAATTGAGATGATGTTTGCACCTAGCCACGTGCCTAACACAGAAAAGGTTCTCAGTAAAATCTACTTTTTATACCCAGATGTCTCTCTCCCTATTCAGGACTGGTGGTCATTGTTGTGAAGAAAGGAGTTTTCTTCTTATTCAGCTTGGCTTATATCTGATGCTGCTTTTCTCCACAAACTCCAGGTCTAGCCAGCTTTACAGGCCCAGATCTCTCTACAGCCATGGGATGCGGGGTTTTCTGTCTGTAGTGGGTCCTCCCCGGGCTGTATCAGGCCTCTGAATGCTCTGAGTTGGTAAACAGCACAAGCCTTGCTTTTAAGTGACGAAGAACAACTAACCAACTGCAGGACTGACTGCTCCCCTCACATACCGGGCCAGCCGCTCTGTTCACAGGAAAGCCTGTAGTTGTTTGCAGACAGACAAGCTTTGGGATTTGGTTCTATTTTCTTGCCTAGTGTAGATGTTAGAATTGCCCTCTTAGTTGATCATCCTGTTTAATTGGTGTCCTTTGCCAGTGTCCTGAACACGAGCAGAAAACTATAGCCATCTGGCAAGGGAGACAGAGAGATCAGACTTTGTCCCCCTCCACCCTTTACACACACACACACACACACACACATATACACACATATATCCACACACATCCACACACATATACACACATATATGCACACACACACACACACACACACACACGGTGATACAAATACCTATTTGAGCTGCTCAGTTATTCTCTCTCAGGAGCTGGAAGCAGCCGTATGGGATGAAGGAGGGACCTGGAGAAGCAGATCTTTTAAGGAAGAAGACAGATTCTGTTCTGTCAGGTTCCTCTGAGTGTGTGTACGAGCAAGTCAGAGAAGAGAGAGAGGAGAGAGAGAGGAAAAGGCAGAGGGAGAGAGGGAGAGAGGGGGAGAGGGGATCTGTTGCAGGCAGGGGAAGGCGTGACCTGAATGGAGAATGCCAGCCAATTCCAGAGACACACAGGGACCTCAGAACAAAGATAAGACATCGCTGACACCACACCGGGGACGAGCTCGCAGACAAGTCAGGCCGGGGAGACCAGGCAGCCAGGAACACCCAAGGCAGGAAAATGAGGTGAGTGCCAGGGCAAGAGTGGGCACAGGGGGTCCTTCCAGGGACCAGGTGCCAAGTAGCCCTGGAAGGTCTGACCTTGTCTCTGGGCTGACTCACCTGCGAGTCCTGTGGCTGGTTCAGGGGCTTTTCATCACTCCCTGGGGCTATGAGAAGGGAGACGGGCTGGGGCCTTCCCTGGGACTCCGGAGACATGCAACTTGAAACGGGAGGCTGTGTGCAAATGCCCCTGACGCCGCTGGAACTCAGATTTCTCCCTCTGCCAGCATAGGGTGCTGTCTGCTGGCCAATGTGACTTTTCTTCTGTTGCCCACAAGGCTGAGTTTTTGTTTTCCTCCTTTGTAAAGAGCATTGCTTTATCTCTTCCAACACTTTGTGAGTTAGATATGTGTTTGTGTGTTTATTTGTTCTGACCGGAAAAGAAACCAGATTCCCGTAGCTCAGCTATGTGGCTTCTTAAACCTTCAGAAGTTTGCTAGTTTAAAACCTCAATTTAGAAAACTAAAAACCTGTCCCCGTTTTACATTCCACTATAAATTTCTGCATTTCTTACTGAAATCAGAGGCCGCCAGTGAATCAGGCTAGGAATTGCACCAAATGGCTCTTAAAGGAATATGACAAATTGAAAAAAAAAAAAAAAAGTCTTTGGAGTTCTGAAACTAGGACTTTAAATTCTAATTGTTTCTAAGCTCTTCAATATTTCCCACTCCTCAGCCTATACTTAGAGTTACTTGATGCTTGTTACCAGACATTTCTTGTAAGTTTTTCTCTCCAGGTGTCAAAATCCGACCACCATAATTACTTTTACTACTTATAAGTGTTAATACTGTTAAAAATAAAAAAAAAAAAACACTCTGCAGATGTGTTGTCTCTAAACATCTTTTTCCGTTAATTTTCTTCTCAATTGGAAAAGGGTTTCTATTTGTTTCTCTTCTGCAAAGTCACCTAGCAACTTTTCAGGGTTTGGGGTCAATGAGGGGCTTCGGGCTATGTTAACTCTTTGAACTCAGATTACCTGTGGTTTAGAGAGATAATCAGGTCTTTAAGGTTAATCCAATCATTCTCTTCTTTCTAAATCCATTGTAATGTTAAACCTGCTATCTAACTTCATTTTCCTTTCTCCTAAAAGAGAGATTTATGCCCATCTACATGGAATGACAATTTGATTGATCTGTCCACTATTCAAATCTCACCCTACCACCCAGTTCCCCAGCCATACCAAACTACAAGGCCAATGATCAGTTCTGTATCTTTGTGTTTTCTGATCCCTTAAGCCAGAATAGCTCTCCCTCTTATTTCTCCTATTTCTCGAGGACCCGATTGTTCAAGCTGGCTCATACATCACCTCCTCTTCCCTGCCCAGTATCCCCAGAGTCAGCATCTTCTCCTTTGTGATATCTCTGTCCTTGGGAGCTACCTTTCTTAATACCTCTTTGTTGAAATGTCCACCTCCTCTTCCAAGACTGAGTGTTCCTTAAGGAATAGGATCTATGGCATGTTCATCTTTGTATGCCTAGTACCTAGCATAATGTCTGTTTCCTATTAGGCATGCAATAAATATTAGCTGAATTGAATTCAGTTGTTCAATAGCAAAACTACTACTGGAAAAGTGCTCCACTAGAAGTCTATAAAAGGTCTTCCCTCACATAGACACAACAGTTCAGAGTTTGCAAAGCCCTTTCATAGGCACTGTCTCATCTGGTCTTCAGATTTTGGATGAGGTAGGATTTATGGAGAAATGAGGATAAAAGAGTTTAGCAACTTGCCCAAAGCCACACTGATGATCTTGGAAAAGCCCAGACTCAAATTTGGATCTTTAGGCTCCAAGTTCAGGATGTTTTTCTACTATATTTTGCCAGACTCTCAACCAAGTATATTATTCTACACCAGCGGCTCTCAATCCTAGCTGCACATTAGGACCATCTGTGGTGCTTTAAAAAATGTCAGGGCTTCCCTGGTGGTGCAGTGGTCGAGAGTCTGCCTGCCGATGCAGGGGACGTGGGTTCATGCCCCGGTCCGGGAAGATCCCCATGCCGGGGAACGGCTGGGCCCGTGGGCCGTGGCCACTGAGCCTGTGCGTCCGGAGCCTGTGCTCCGCAACAGGAGAGGCCACAGCAGTGAGAGGCCCGTGTACCGCAAAAAAAAAAAAAAAAAAATGTCAGTGACCAGGCCTCACTCCAGACCAATTAAACTAAAATCTGCTGGGGAGGGGCTTTGATATTAGTTTTTTTTTTTTAATTTTCACATAAAGCTACGGGTTTTTTCATTATTTTTCACAGGATTAATTGCTTTGGCCAGATGCCTGGGCATGATATGGGCATGGACCCAGCATCCTCTGTGAGCTTTTGTTATTCCCTTCTTCTGTTGAAGCGAATTCACCATATGGTATTGGGCATGACATGTCACCCCTTGGGGTACCCTTTTCGTCATCTGTCAAGTAAGGGTGTTGTCAAAGGGATCTATATAGTCCATTTCAACTCTTCTACCCCAAAACAGTCTTGGTGTAGCGTAGGTTGAAGTGAGGAGTGAATGGAAAGGATAGAAAGTGCTACTCATTCCACAACCATGGATATATGCCGGCATTTTTTAAGGCGTTCCTGAGAGCTTGCTCCTACAGTAGAGCTTAGGAAATCCTGGCGTTATATATTACTTTTGACATTTCAAGCAAATGTAATTAAACTTTTTGATTAGTTGGAGAATAGATAGCAGGTGTCAGAATTTGTACAGCCGGTGCATGGTGGATAAGAAGCCAAAAACATTCAGAGAGTGTGATGGGAAATGAAAGCTGCCACTTACATTCTTTAATTTGCAGCCCTGAAAGCAAGCAAGCAAGCATATGCTCAGGCTTATTATGTGAAAAGAGAGATTTGTTTCATATGTTTGAAACTGTTTTGAGATGCAAACAAAATAGAACAGAAAGCTTCACAGGCCTTCCTCCCACGATGACCAGTTGCCTACTACACATGGTCCTAGGCCTCTGAGGATAGATGGAGCCGTTAGCCTGGGCCAGCCCTTGACAGAAGCAGCATTAGGAAGCTCAGAGTCTCCTCCATGTGGTCTGGAAAAAGCAGATATGGAGAAAGTTGACCTTTCAGCCTTACATAATCTGGGTGTCGCTGTTGCAGGGAAGTCCAGTTGGGGGATCCAAAGCTCATTCCTAACCCTTGCTTTTCGGGAAGCAGCATGATGGAGTAATCATAACTAATGTTTGCCTAGGGCTGGACAGTTAACAAAGTACTTATTTTCCAATCTTCCTGTATTCTGATAGCAGCCCCGGGGGATGTCATTATTATCACCAATTAAAGAATGAAGAAACTGAGAGGGAGACCTTACGTGACTTCCCCAAGATGGGTCAGATAAATAAAGTCAAAGTCTGGACTTGAATCCAGCTATTCCAACCTAAGACCAGTGCTCTCCCCTCCCCAAGCGGAACTGAACCAGAACTCCTAGCGCAGGTACCATGGGTATATTTCCTCACTTGAAAGTGGGGCTGCCTGAGCCCTGCAAGCCAGAGTTTCTAGACTCAAGCTTTCCTACTAGTTCACGGGAGAGCTTGGACCTGTGCCTCCCCTTCTCTCTCCTCCACAGATTGGTTTATAAAAATATTGACCCTGGCAATTGGATTAAAACATTTTGTTTCTTTAGTTGCATCCCACATGTTGCAATTGCAGGGGCCTTGGAAAAAATATAAATAACTATTTTTTTTTAATTGAAAAAATAGCACAAGGCCCTTCTAGACACATCTGAATATTTTATATACACAAAAGTAAAATTAAAAACACTCATATTACCACTTCAGAGATAACTACTGTTAATATCCTACTGACACCCTTGTAGGCCATTTTGCACTTACGTCTTTACCTTTTATGTAAATGTTATATAAGACAGCTAGATAATCTCATTGTAGTTATCTCATTGTGTTTACACACTCAAAAATTCATATGTGTGCATATATAAACATATGTGCATCTGTTTACCGAGCAGCGTGGGGCAGCTTGGGGAGAAACAACTTCCTGATTAGCCAAATTGTATCTTAATCTTAAGACACTGGTATAATTTCCCAGAAGTTACTTTTTAGGCTATATAAGACTCTGGCCCCACTTTCATGCTTTTGTTCATTCGTTCGTTCATTCATTCATCATCTCTTATATACCAGGCTTTATATTAGGTCCTTCACATACATCATCTCCAATGTTCATGTGAGCTCTGTAAATTAGAGATTATAATCTTCATTTTACATTTGAGGAAACCTGAGCTCAGAGACTAATTACCCAAGGTTTCACAGCCAGTAAGTAAGAGAACTGGGATTTGAACCCAAATACACCTAACTTCAGGGACTGTGCCTAAAGCAGTGCTCTAATTGGAAGCATATACAGGGAGCTGGAATCTGGAGTGAAGGATACTCTGTGGTATCTTGGGAAGCTTTGAGCTGGATGGTGGAGGATAAATAAGACAACCAGGTGAGGAATGAGCATGTGCAATGGGCCCAAGGCCTGGATGGGCATGGCATGCTCCCAGAATGATCTGCCTCGGCATGGCTGCTATGAGATGAAGTTGGACAGGTAAATCAGCACTAGATCAAAAAGGGCTTATCAGCCATCCCGGTAGCAGATGCTTTGCCCTGCAGGCACAGTGGAGCAGTGTGGACACATCTGTGTTTTAGAAAATCAAATTTGGCGGAAGATTGCTGAATGGTATGAAGTGGTAGCCAGGGAGATCAGTTAGGATGAAATAGCAACAGTCCAGATAAGAACATTTAAATTAATTGGCTGGAGAGAAGCAGAGGGGTTCCCAAGACATAGGAAGCAGAACATATAGTATTTAACGGAGAAATTGATGAGCCAGGATTGGGATGTTTGAGTTCAAGGTCCTTGAGTCTCACAGGGGGAGCAGTCTGGTAGATGCCTTGGTTGTCTTGTGTACTGACCATTAGGTTTTTTGTTTGTTTGTTTTTGTTTTTGTTTTTTTTTGCGGTACGCTGGCCTCTCACTGCTGCCCAGCCGCTCCGCGGCATGTGGGATCTTCCCGGACCGGGACACGACCCCGTGTCCCCTGCATCGGCAGGCGGACTCTCAACCACTGCGCCACCAGGGAAGCCCGACCATTAGGTTTTTGACAAGCCTTGGACATTCTGCCTCATTATTGCATCAGCCACTTTGGGTGTATTCTGCAAGTTTTGTTGAATTTCCCGTGCCCCTTATGCAACTCTTTTCACAGTCCATCATCTCTCATTCCTGCAGCTGGAAATAAACTGTATGTTTTTGATCCTTTTATAAAAACACTTGCCAAAAGGAAAAACCTTGTTTTGCTCATTCCTTCTTAATTCAAAATTTTGCATTTCTTGATTGATTTTGTTAAATTTGTTTTAGGTACTACAGATCCCATCACTGAGTATAAGTCTTATCTCAATATTTCCATGTTACTATTACTTACTTTTTAGAAAATTGAATCAAGAGTTTATGATTCTTAAATGAAGCTAAGCTAAATAAATGATATCAGCTTTTACCTAACTATGAAATTTATATTTTCAACCAAAAAATGATATGCCTCAGAGTCCCAAATATGATATTTTCTGGGAAAGTTTAATACTATTATCAAATCTTTAAAAAGAGCACAACTGGAAGCAACCTTTGAAATCAAGTTACCGCCCTCCAGTATTATAGGCTGGGTAAGCAAGACCCATAAGGACGAAGTAATTACAGCAGGTCAGTGGCAGAGACATGCTGGGGACTTGTTCCCCTGGCTGTTGATTTAGCTAAATGGCAAGGACCAGTGTCTGTGAATGTAAGTGAATCCATTCATGTCTTTCAGGTGGCTCCTTCTCTCTCATGCTCTGTGCTTCTCCTTGTTGAAGGCTTTGGCCCACATAGTGGAGCTTAACAATATGTTTGGCCAGATTCAGTCGCCTGGCTATCCAGACTCTTATCCAAGTGATTCAGAGGTGACGTGGAATATCACTGTCCCAGAGGGATTTCGGATCAAGCTTTACTTCATGCACTTCAACTTGGAATCCTCTTACCTTTGTGAATACGACTATGTGAAGGTGAGACCCCTAATGTTCCCTAACTGGGCCAGGTTCTCTACGGGAGAATCTGCTGGGAGTTAGAGGAGCTTAGATGAATTAGATGCTGTGTTTACCACCCAGTCTGGCAGTCCAGTGAGGGAGATATACAATGTTATAACATTATGAAGAAGGGCTGGGGGTGGCATGCTAGGTGCAGGCTGAGTAGGAAGACCTAGAAAAGACCTTGAGGGAAACTGAAACTGGCAAAGTGTGACTCAGCCAAACATAACCTTGCCTTTTCCTTTCTGATCTCAAAGTCTTTAACGTTTCCACTAACCTCTGCTCCAATGTCACCTTTAATTCAATAAGCAGAAAAGGGCAGAGACCTCAGAGTCAGCATTAGTCAGAGTAAGCTAGCATTATATCCAAAGCTGAGGCATTGGAAAGCATTGCCCTGTTCCCTAGGTAATGATCAAGTGTTTGGGAAGTGTAGGGTATGCCGCAGCAGAGAGTAGGAGGTGAAGTTGGAAGGTTGGATTGCGGTGAGATCCTGAAGGGCCTTGAATATGATGCTAAAGAGTTTGGATTTTACCAACAAAGAGTATGGGCAACAATAGGGGGTCACTACACAGATGGATGTAAAAAACAAATGGAAGAGGAGCAGAAAATGATTACAACATCAAAACAACATTTCCCAAAATTTAAGGAGAGCCCACAAACAATTCCATGGGTGGGAAGCTGTTCTCTTTTAAAAGTGGAGCTAAGAAAGGTTAAAGTACTTCTGAGAGATGACACTTATTAAGGTTGTATCTGGTTCAAAAAGAAGTGGAGACCTAAGAACCTACTTTATAACCTCTCTCTGGCTTCCTGGAAGGAGTTCTCATCAAACCACTCTAGAGTAGGCTTTCTATATCTTTGGTATTAGTATAGTCTCATTTTTCCACAGCCTGTAATTCAACAAGAGTTAACCTTGTATTTACCAGAATGTTTGATCAACAGCAAAGAAGTGAGTTGACAAGGTGATTTACACTTAAAATCTCATTCAACCTTTAAAACAATCCTGTGAGACAGGTACTACTGTCCCATTTACAGGCAAAGAAACAACCCCAAGAAGGTGAAGCAACTCACCCAACGTTGTACAGCTAGTAAGTGATGGATCAGTGTTCCAAACCCATGTCTTGTGACTTTCAATACCATGTTCTTTTGGCTCCACCAAACTGCTCACGAGCTGTACTCCACTGAGCCCTAAGATACTGCAGGGGCTGAAAAGAACAGTGGGCTGGGGTGGGGCAGAGGCCTGGTAAGTGGGGCTGTGAACCCCTACCCTGATTAACTCATTTTAAATGGTGGGTGTTGCTAATTATGTATGTTGGGTATGCATCAAGTATCCCATTTAAAGCTCATTTTCTGTGACTGAAAACTTTCTGAAATTGGTGCTCCATGACAGTTTTTCAATTTTAACACTATTGACATTTTGAGCCAGACAATTATTTGCTGAAGAAAGCTGTTTTGCGAATTATAGGGTCTTTAGCAGCATCCCTGGCTTCTACTCACTAGATGCCAGTAGCACTCCCATTCCAGTTGTGACAACCAAAAATGTCTCCAGCAGTTATCAATATCCCCAGGGGAGCAAAATCTCTCCATTTGAGAACTATTGCTCTCTCTGTGTGATGCTGCCCATCTTTGAATGCCCTGTGCTAGAAACTGTGAGAATTTAAGGACACAAAAATCTAGTCCCTTAAAAAGAGAGATGAGCCTAGAAAAATAGCAATTGCACAAGATGAAAAAGAGTAATGACAATAAAAGATTGACAAAAAGAGTGAGAAAAGGTAAAACTGGTTACTCTAAGAGATGATGTGGCTTGGTAATCTAGATTGACATACAGTTTCTATAAATTCATTAAAAATGGAGCCAACTTCTCAGACTCGCAAGGATCAAGCAGGGAGTATTCACCAAGATCCTAAGTGTTCATCATCCTAAATTGAAATTTCTAACAAACAGGTTAGTTATGTCTTCTAGGACATAATCTAGCCTCTGGCAGAACCAAACTCCAGGATCCCAGATGCATTATGGGTAGGGGACAATAGGTTAGCAGAATCCCCCAGCCCATTCCCCTAGCTAATGCTCGCCATACAACCATGCATGGTATTCTCAAATATTTAGGTTGGAGAGTGAACTTAGCAGAAGGAAAATGACCAAACACTGACTTAATAGAAGAGTAAATTCCATAGATTTAGACAAGGCTAGATCTGAACTTCCTAACTGCTTTTTTCTCTACTTTCAAATATGTCAACCATCTAGAAATTTTGCCAGCAGAAACACTTGCCTTTATTAGTAGCTGAGGCCTCAAGACCACAGAAATTAGAATTTTTTTCTTTAGCTGTGACAATGACTTATTTTCATTATTCCTCCCTGCCTCCACCCTAAGAATTCACTCTCAATTCATATTCAGTCATTTCTCACAAGTTTTCCTCTCATTTATATGGATGCCAGGTTTGACCTTGTTAGGACTCCTTTATGGAGATGATAAACACACAATAGAGGATTTAACTCATTCCTTTGCCCCCAAATAAATTGAGTCTCTGGCAAAGCAGATTAAAGAGTTGACATCAGCTACACTTTGTAGGAGAAAAAGATGATACTTTTCAAGGGCAACAATAGACTGTGAAGACCTCTTCTGACCCTGAATTAAGGACACTGAAATTTCTACCTAAAGTTTGGCCTTTCTGGTTGGAGAATATTTTGGAAATTGATTGATGGTTTCTATCTAGGGTGGTGAGATACCTTCATGAAAGCCCAAGGAGTTGGGACTAGGCCCTCTGGAAGGGCAGCATCATCCTGGTTTCTTAACTGGGATTCAGGAAATGCCTGTTCTAGTCCCAGATCTGCCACTAACTCCCAAATGATCTGGAGTAGAAAAGACAATCTTTTAGCACTGTCTCTGCTCCAAAATTAGCCTTATGACCTCTGAGCATAGCAAAGAAACCGTCTGTGTGAGGCAACACAGAGACTGAGCTGCCTACCTGAAGTGCCTGACAGTCCTTGCTTCTCTGATTCCAACACATTTTTCCAGTTCCTTTAGAAGAAGAGATTAGCATATTGGACAGAGAGGTATTACTTTGCTTGGGCTTGCACAGCTCACTTCCTTCCAGAATATCATCCCAGCACTAGCATTGGCCTCTCTGCAGAGGTTCTAGCAGCCATGGGGCCTGAGCAGGCCTTCCTTCACAGGACGCTGCACCCTGGTCAGCTGATGACTAGTGCTCACGTGGAGACAGGCCCTGTGTCCTTGCCCACACGTGCCCGGCAGAGTTCCCCTCCTGGACTCAAGAACTCATAGGATGTCAGGCCACAGGGGCCCTCTGGAGACCCACCTAGTCCCACGTCATTGTTGTTATTGTTGTTTTTCAAATATTTTCTCCCTAGTGGACATTTTCTTCTTACAAATCTTCTAGTAGTCCTGATATAGGAAACAGAAGTGAGGCTGCTAGGGTTGAAGGTGGCTCAGAAGCTCACTCAACCTTCTTGGTCCCCCTGAAGGTCACACCTTGCAGAAATTACAGCTTGAATACTCCTTAAGTTCCCAATTCAGGGACAAGACTAGTACTGTCGCCTGTGAACCCTAAAACCCAGAAGCCTTCAACATATAGTCGAAACCCATTGACTTTTTCTAATTGTGTTCTCTCCCTAACCCTCCACCCCTAGAATATGTGGCTTTCCTGGCTATGAATGAGAAGGAGGCTCTTCCCTTTTCATCTGAATGAAGCATGAGCATGCCAGCCATGTCACCCTTGGATAAGTCAATACCCCTCTACAAAATTCTGTCTTTTCATCTGTTCCATGAGGAGTAGAATGAGATGATCCCTAAGGTCCCTTAAATTCCAGAATTTTAATCTTCATTCTCCTTGCCAGAGCTTTCCAGATGACCCCCCCCAAACCCTCATTATCCTAGTTAGGATAATGCCAGAAAACGGTAATAATATGTTACAGCGGCCACTTCTTGAAGTTCCGTGGCCATAAGCACTCCATTAAGAGACTATAGTCTGCTGGAGTTGCCTTAGTGACATGTCATTTGAAGAAAATTTGTAAATATATCATGCCAGTGCTGTCCTTTTCCAAGGAACTTGGAATATCACTCATTTCCCTCTGATGGGATAATATCCCCTGTTTTGAGGCTCTTTCATTCTGTGACTGAATTCCCCTGGCAGGCCTGGGAGTGGGTTTAAAGGACCATGCAGTTCACAGGAATCCTTTCAGCCCAGCCCCAGTCCACAGACTGCCCTTCCCACCCTGGCCCATCAGGGTGATGATGACGGAATTGCTGACACTGCACATCAGCAGCTTGAAGAAGGGCAGGACCCCAAGGCTGTGGTCTGGATGCTCTCATTTTATGAAAATTCCTCTCCAGCCTGCCTTCCCGCAGTCTTTGGTCTTCAAGGCACATGCACATCTGCACGACAGGATTTGCTTCCTTGGAATGTGGCTGCAATGTGTGGATTCCTACAGTGCACAGATGAGACATATGAATCACAGCTGGCTAATGCTGTAGGCGAGGGGCAGAGCACAGACACTGGCCAGGAAACTGGAGGCCTAGATTCTTGTGGCCATTCTCTACTAACTAAGTAACCCTGGGCAAGTGATTGCTTTTACAGTAGACTCTTTCCTCCTGTCTCAGATACAGGGAGTTGAACCAGATGTTCTGTAAGGTCCACCTAGCCCTGATATTCTGTGTATCTAAGACCTCAGGAATCATGATTCAACTTCATGATCATCATGCTGAAGCCCTGGAAAGGGCAATTCATTGGCCAAGGTCACACGGGGACCAGAATTTATATCTCGAAACTCTCAGTCTTTTCTTTTCTTCTTTTAAAAATATTAAGTGACAGTGGAGTCCCCCATCTTATGGATGCTTAGGTTTTTAAGTGTAATGTAAGGCAAATATGGTCTATAGTCAAACTTACTCTCTTAAATATAGTAGAGCACTGTCTTTTAGAATGTCCAGAAGATACTTTTTTTCCCAGAAATGCAACAAATTATAT